TATCAGTTGATTTATTAGATCTCAGTGCTAAAATTTTGACCACAGCGTTGGCGCTGGAAAATGTATGGCTACCAATAACGTATTCTGCTCAACCTCTTCTCCCTAAAATGTGACCAACTGCAAATAACATCAGACTGTTTAATTGATAGGTTGGGAATGCAATGTGAGAATCTGGATTTTGCAGCTGTGTTTTCGTTACATGCTGGAAAAGCTTTTGGATATTGTGTGGATTAATTTTGAGGAACATGTTGAGATACAGATTTCCCTTCCATTTTTATCAGTTCGATAAAAATGTGGTGCTCTTAATCCACAGGATATAAATAGATTATGAATGGAATTATGTCTTCACCTCTTAAGATCTCTCATGGAGTTCAGAAAGAGATTACATGTTGGTGAAGATTCTTAGACCTAAATTTATTTATAGACAGCTGGAATGTCTTGTTAAGATAATAATAATTGACAAGTATTTTAGAATAGAGGTTGGCACAGCCTACATTAATAAATCAGTTTTGCTCCATTTTACGACTGTTCTTTCCACATTTGTTAAGTGAATCACTATGTTGTTAAGTTAGTAACCCGGTTGTTAAGTGAATCTGGCTTCCCCATTGACTTTGCTTGTCAGAAGGTTGCAAAAGGGGATCACGTGACCTCCGGGACATTGCGACCGTCATAAATGTGAGTCAGTTGACAAGCATCTGAATTTTGATCATGTGACCGTGGAGATGCTGCATCGGTCGTGTGAAAAATGGTCATAAGTTATTTTTTCCAGTGCTACTGTAATTTTGAACAGTCACTAAGCAAACTGTTGTAAATTGAGGACTACCTATATGCATGGATCATGTTGCAGGATCCAATCTGGGTCCGTCACCAGGATCAGAGGTTTAGTCTTCTGAGCTTCCAGACTTGTGCTGGAGCCTCCATCCTCAGGGAATTTCTCTCTCACCAGAATTTCTCTTGCTATCTGACAGTTAGAACAATTAACCAGTGGAACTACCTGCCTCCAGAAGTTGTGAATGTTCCAACACTGGAAATTTTTAAGAAGAGACTGGACAGCCATTTATCTGAAATGGTACATAGGGTCTCCTGCCTGAGCAGGGGGTTGGACTAGAAGACCTCCAAGGCCCCTTTCTAACTCTGTTATTTCATTCTATCTTAAGATGAGTTATTCATCTAAATATATTTTTCCTGTTTATTGGACACCCCAGCAGATTTTAAAGACAGTTCAGTGTCAATTGTTCATGCTGGAGGGGAAAAAAATAGGATATATTTGAGAGCCCTTGGACACATGTTTTGGCTGGCTGGGGAATTCTGGGAGTTGAAGTCCACACATCTTAAAGTTTCCAAAGTTGAGAATGCTTGATCCAAAATATCTGGATAGTATCAGTCGGCAGAAAGCTAAAATATAAAATACGTTGTTTTTTTATTTTCTGGTTTACAATAGCTTAATTGATTAATGATAATTTACTGTAGCCTGCAGCGTATTTTAGCCCGATTTAGTTTCTGCTTTTCTGAATAACTAGAATTCATCAGAGCAGATTTCATTAAATCTCCCGAAAACTGGTTGACAAATCTGTTAATAAGAATTTAGGCTGAAACATTCTTACTGATTACCATCTTAATGATCTGCTCTATGCACAACAAACTCACGGTATATAAAGCATCTGATGACAGAATTAGAATTATGGCTATGAAAACACATACAGTCGGACATGGTTTAACACAATTCTTTCCCTTCTGATTAGTAAAGTTGAAAGCTATACAGCCGGGAATTGTTCAAAAGCTTGGCAACATAGGGAAACAAAACATGCTGACTGGTTTAGCATAATCCTTAGATAATATATATATATATAGCATTTCTTAATATTTCATTGCACACTGAGTTAATCCAAACAAGGGATATATTTGGGAAGAGGGTTTTTTTTTAAAAAAAAAAGGAAAACGGTAACCAAAATTGTAATAACAGTTAGACTTATATACCACTGCCTAGTGCTTTATAGGACTCTTTAAGCCAGTGGTTCTCAACCTGTGGGTCGGGACCCCATTTGGGGTCGATCGACCATTTCATGGGGGTCGCCAAGCAAGGCTGTCCGCCATTTTTTTTGTCCGCCATTTTTTTTTGTCCGCCATTTTTTTCCCCTTTTCCGGTGGGTGCCTTATCTCCCTTGAGCTGGGCCAGCTGGTGGTCGGCCTGCTCCGTCTCTGCCGCTTGCCAGCTACGCCTCGGCCGGCGCAGGGGGCGGAATCACGCATGCGCGGCGCTCCCGGGCAGGGAAAGTCCTCGACTTACGACCGGTTGGGTAGTCCTCGACTTACGACCGGTTTAGTCCTCGACTTACGACCGGTTTAGTCCTCGACTTACGACCGGTTGGGGTCGCGGCATTAAAAAGGTTGAGAACCACTGCTTTAATCAGTTTACAGAGTCAGCGTATTGCCCCCCCCTCTCCAACAATCTGGGTCCTCATTTTACTGACCTGTGGAGGATGGAAGGCTGAGTCAACCTTGAGCCAGTCAAGATCGAACACCTGGCACGGGGCAGAGTCAGCCTGCAATACTGCATTCCTGCCCTTTTGTGTTGCATTTGCAGTTTGATTGTACGGGGGTCGCCATCTTGATTTTTTTGACCCCCTCCATAGATACCCATAACTGCAGATTTCTCCACCTATATGAATAGCCCTCCTAAAATCAATGGGGTTTAATATAGTCGCATCCCTCTGATTTTTAATGTTCTTCATAAACTGTGACTCAGTCTGTACAGCCCCCGCAGATATTTAATATATTCCTTCTATTTGTAAACCAGCGCATCAGAAGTTCCCATGCTCTGATAAAATACGCAGGGAATTAAAACATCTGCTGTAGCCATCATGAAAAATGCAATTGTAAACAATACCGAAGAAGTATAATAAGAAAGTTATTGTGATGTGTTTTGGATCAAAAAGGGAGATTGGTTTTATGTTTTGGCGATAGAAGGATATTCAGTGTTTGCGAGAGAAAATAGATAATTTTTTTCTTGTTCTTTTCAATGTTGGATCAGAGTTGCGTTATGACTAGGGGTGATATGAAACTGTCCTAGAAAGAATGCAGAGAAGAGCACCAAGGGTGGTAAGATTTAGTCTAGAACAGGGGTCTTCAAACTTGGCCCTTTTATGACTTGTGGACTTCAACTCCCAGAATTCCTCAGCCAGGCATGCAAGTCATTACTAACTCTCAGGTGAACGTGTTGCTTCCCATAATTTGGAAAGTGTAAGCTATTGTTTTTTTAAACAAAAGCCAGAGGTAATGTTATCTGAATAAAAATACAATTTTTTCTGGCAGAAGAATCAACTCCAATTTTTTATCTAGTTGAAAGATAAAAAGGAGTAGGATGTGCAATTAACTTCTTGAACTAACTTTTTCTTTCTTTCTTTCTTTCTTTCTTTCTTTCTTTCTTTCTTTCTTTCTTTCTTTCTTTCTTTTGTTTTAAATAGAAAGGTGGAAGCTTGCCCTTTGGTTGAGCTGAATGTTGCTGTCTTCGCTGGTTACCATAGGAACAGACCTTAGTTAATCTTCTGTTCATAAACCCAGAGCAATTTACGTGTGTGGAAGTTTGATTATTCAAATTGCTTTTGCATGTGTTCAAATAAATTATAATGACTGATACCAATGTACTTTTATTATCTCTTAGTTTAGTTATTAAAAATAGTTCTTGATAAAAACAAGAGCCTGTCTTCCATCTTTGCTCTTTCTCTGCAACCTCCAGTGTGTGTGTGTGTGTGTGTGTGTGTGTGTATGAGAGAGAGAAAAAGGCACATATTAAATGCCTTTCTTTTGGCTTTCAAAGAAAAAATGGCTTTCCTTGATGTTGCAGCCCAAATAATCACCTTTTCTTCCTCGGTTCCTCATTTTTATAAAAGGACGCGGTGACAGTAACCTTTCCCTGTGTTATATTTAACAAGAAAAGGATGCATGGCGACATGTCGTTCAAATTATGATTCCTTTTCTAACTTGTCTTCTTCCAAGACTTTTGCATTTTAAGTCCCACTAATTGCTCTAGCCAAAGATCATACCTTGTTAGAAGAAAAAGACTTGCGAGAATGTAATTTGTACGTTCACAGCAATTATACTTCTCGTCAACGAATTTAAATTCTGAAGAATTTAAGTTTTTGTGATTCAAACTTTGTCCTACCTATGGTCTAGCTGCCACCAGTTGAGAACTAGTGAGATAAAGCGCGTTGGAATAGACACTTCATTTGAGGATATTATAATTACCGGTAGTCCTTGACTTACAACAGTTCTTTTTGTGACCATTACTATTACCATAACTCGCTGAATTGTAAATCAGGATTACCCAAAATGCAGTTCATGTGTTTACAACATACTAAGACTGTAATACAGGGGTCTTCAAGCTTGGCCCTTTTATGACTTGTGGACTTCAACTCCCCCTCTTTCAAACCAATGGTCCCCTCTGTCCAAAATGTGACCTTTGCTGTCTTCAAAAAGTGGCCTTTGTCTTTTAAATGTAGAAGGACTGCTAATTGATGGGTTTGTTCTCTTATGTTGTGCCATGTGCTCATGAAGTGGTGGCTTCGTTTCCCCAATGTACAGATCTGCACATGGCTCACTGCACTATACTGCATATACCTCGTAATGCTCAGTTTGTTTTCTGGGTGTTTTATCCCTGGGGTGGACCATCACACAATCATTAAGCGAATCCATCTTCTGCCATTGATTTCGCTTATCGGATGCTGGCTGGGAAGGTCAGAAATAGCGATCACTCACGTGATCCCAAGATGCTGCACCTGTCATAAATACATTCTGCTTGCTAAGCACTCGAATTTTGATCATGGAAAAGCTGTGACAGTTGTGAGTGCGAGGTCCAGTTGGTGTCATTTTTTTCAGAGTTGTTTTACCTCCGAGCAGTTGCTAAACAAAGGATTGTAAGACGTTGCTTCGTAAGGCAGGTTGCACCGTCCTTGTCTTAAAGGAATATCCTCAGAGAGTTCTCTCGCCTTTCTCTCTCCCAGGTCTACGAACGAGGAACAAATGTGGACCAGTTTGTGACCCGTTTCCTGCTGAAAGAGACGGCCAATCAGATTCAGTCCTTGCTCAGCTCAGTGGAAAGTGCTGTGGATGCCATTGACGAACAAACCAGTCAGATCAGGTTGGCTTGTGATCTTTACGCCGTTCCATATGACGTCTAGATAAGATAAGATAACCCTTATTGTCCTTTTTCTGTATGCACAGTGGCACACATTAAAATGAAATTTCGACACACCGCTCTCAAAAACCCACCAACAATATCACTATCCCAAGGATACTAATAATGATGATGATGATGATGATGATGATGATGATGTTACAAAAAACTGCGCTACTCGGAACATCTTATATTTTAAGGAAGTACCTGGTTGACACCTAGGATGCTGGTAGCAACCCGTGTCAACCATCAGCGCCAGCCAATTTGAATGTTCAGTTGACTGAGGTTCATGTTTAATGAATAAAAGATAATAATAATAATAATAATAATAATAATAATAATAATAATAATAATAAGAAGAAGAAGAAGAAGAAGAAGAAGAAGAAGAGGAGGAAGAAGAAGAAGAAGAAGAAGGAGGAGGAGGAGGAGGAGGAGGAGGAGGAGGAGGAGGAGGAGGAGATAAGAAAATAATAAGAAAAGGTGGCTGCTGTTTATCTGAAATGCTTGTGCAGGATTGGACTAGAAGACCTCCATGATCCCTTCCAACTCAACAGGAAAGAAAAAAAAGGACTTTATTTATTACAGAATAACAACAATGTTGTCATTATGTAATAAATAAAGTCCTTTTTTCCCTTTCCTGTTCTTGAGAGATATGGAAATGTGGCACGCAGAACTTTAATATAGTCTGCTATCTGTATCCATTGTTCCCAGATTGTATTAAAATTCAATTCTGCTGCTTTTTACAATGCTGCTGAGCTTCAGAATTGTTATGGTGGTTTCTGTACAGACGAGGTTCAAATCAAAATCACTCTGAAAAAATAGGATAGAAATCAGTGAGGCGTGCAGTATCCTAGGAAATGGTCCTGCTTATTTCAATGAGACATTGTCGGGATTAACTGAATCCAAATCTTGTTTATGCAATCTAGAAAACAACCTGCTTAGAATGGCCGCATGTGAATATGTTAATTAAATAAGCTTGGCTTGTTAGAATATGTTTTAATGCTCCAACGTAGCTTTGCTGAGCTGGCACAACATTTTCCACTTGGTTAGTTCATTGACCCAGCTTCAAAGTTTGCACCAAACATGGGATCGCAATCTAACCAAAGGGCTGGGTTCGTACAATATGTTACGCTTCTCACCCCAACCAAGGTTAAAATTCACCAAATGGGTTTAGTTTGTGCTATATACAAAAGCCACTGGGTTTTTAACTAGCCTGGATAAATAAATGTATAGGATGCCAGGCAGTTTAGGATTTAACAAGATGCTTGAGAAACTGGTGTCCCTCAGAGATAGGCTCTACCTTCAACGACCACATGAGGGAGGTTGTAGACTAACAGTCCCATCAGAAATTTTGACTTTGTTTTGCTGAAAAAGAGAAATCCAACCTAGAACTAAGGAGAGATTTCCTGAGAGCGAGAACATTAAGTGGAACAGCTTGTCTCCAGAAGTTGTGGCTGCTCCATCACTGGAGGTTTTCAAGAAGAGACTGGACAGCCATTTGTCTGAAATGCTAGGGTCTCCTGCTTGAGCAGAGGGTTGGACTAGAAGACCTCCAAGGTCCCTCACAGCCCTATGATTCTATGAAAAGAGGCATAAGATGGGAGATGCCCCAAGACAAAGGAGTTTAGGGTACTTCCATTTTGTTTGTTCCCAGAGTATTAGAGGTTTGGGGTTTTTTTTTAACAAACCCTACGAAGATACAAATTCACACAAAGGGTGAGGACTAGCTTCAAGATTCAGGTTTCCTCCCTGGAAACTTTGGAAACTGCACCTCCTGGAAGCTGAAGAGAGAAACGACAAGAAAACCAAAAGAGATTTTAGGAAGCACAGGTTGGTTTTGGGTTTTGCAAATAAAATTAAAATTATATACTTCACAGCTGCCTAAAGCAGCAACTGTCTTGACCAGAACCCAAAAACCAGTTGCTATGGAAATGGGGACGAGATCAGAAGCTGGTATCAAGAGATTTCCTCATTCAAATCATCCTCCCCCACCTCCCGGTCATCTAATTTAAATTGAAGAAAAAATAAAGAGCAGATCACAAATAGCTGCTTATGAAGGACTTTTTCTGCTCCCTCCGGTCCGGTATGGTAAGGAGAGAGATGCTCAAGAGGCTGAAAAGCAGATGAATTATTCCTCTCTCTGTCTTTTAATTCGCATGGTTACTCAGAAGCTTAAATAAAAGAAAGCCAGTTATTCTGGTTGCCTAGAACAGGGGTCCCCAACCCATGGGCTGCAGCCTCTTGGCCAGCGGGCCATGGAAATGGCTGGCTGGTGTGCGCACACATGTGCGCTAGCGCCTGTGGCCCCATTTGCACACAGGCATGAACGGGGCCGCTAGTGCCGGGTGTGTGTGTGTGGCCCGTTTGTGCATGCATGAACAGGGCCGCTGCTTTCCCATAACACTCACATCTGGGCTGGGTGACTTATGCTCACCAAACTGTGGGCTTCCTCCTCCATTCCCTTCCCACATGCCTGGGGGCTCTGGACCTCTCTTTCACCTCTGTGAGTTTTCTGAATGCACTGAGCAGGTCAGGGATGCTGGCCTGACCCAAGCCCCAAGGTTGTCCTTAGATTCTGACGTGACGATTCTGAAGTGAACTGCAGCTCTCTTGTTGCCTTTGATATAAGACAGACATCTCCACAGCACCTTGAATCAAAAGCACCGGCTGCCATGGGTTTGGCTGCAGCTGTTTTGACGTTTCCAGTCTTTGAGGCCTCCGATAGCTCCTAAACTCCAAATATTATCGTTAAAAGGCAAAAAAAAAAAGAGATGGTTGCGGAGCAATCATCTGCCCCCACTCATGTTCAATTATTTCCCTTTCCAGCTTGACCTTCTCCTCTCCCCATCAAGAGACGCTCGCCAGTAAGAAAATTGAAATTTCTCAGGCATCTCGCTCCTTCCTTCCTATTTTGAGCTGCGCTGTCCCTTTTGATGCCGGCATCGGCCTTGAGCCAATCTATATTCATGAGAGTTGACTTAAAAGGCATGTCGCCCGAAGATAAGATGCTTCAAATCTTCCTTGCCTTGGAGGGTGGCTATTAGCTCTGTTGAGCAAATCGCAGTTCGCCAAGCCATCCATTCGGGCTTCGAGGCAGGATAGCATTCTCCACAAAGTCTGGATAATGGAAGCAGGACGCATCAGAACGTGGCTTTAGTTTTCAAATAAGGGAGACGCTAACTCAGCAAGGAGAGAAGCATTTGCACGTCACATCTCCCCTTCCCACTGGGAGGAGGGGAGACTGTGTGAATATATGGAATATGTTTCCTTTGCTATTAAGTACAAAAGGAAAGTTCCCACAGCGAGTAGACCATATCAGTGGGATCTCTTTGGGTGTTCCAACCCATCTCTATTCAGCTCACAGGCCATCAGCCCAGCCCCTCGCAGGGTTGAAAGTAGGAAGAGGAAGAAAAAGTAGAAGAAAATACTTTATATGGCAATTTCTGCTTCTAAGAACACAATTAAAATAAACAGATGAGGCAATTTGCTATGTGATGTAAGAATTTGTTCCTGTCTGTTGAATTTAGATCTAGTTTAATACATCTCTTGAGCCTCAACTTGGAGAAGGGGCAACTTTTAGCCGAAAGCTTCGTTCTGACTCTTGGTCTGACAGTGTTGTAATAAACTCCGTTATGTACAGCCAATTGAGCTATAGTAAAAAGCTATATCCTCCGTGACATTTCTAAATTCGTTTGTACTTTATTCTTTCATTCTTTTTTCACGTCTTTCAACTTTTTTAAAGGGAAACTATTTTGTTCTAGTTCTAAGCAGCTTCTGAGCTAGCAATGAATGTTGGGCATGTTTTAATGAAGGGTTTTTAAACCATGGAACTGAAATAAACATCAAACATTCACTCCCTTTTTCCATCTGGTCATCTGTCTATCCTTCTCCCATATAGACACATCCACAGTAAATCTGGCCACAATGCCATGGATAGTTGGTATGACAATCCCGTCTCTAGTTATTCTCCCAATAACAGAATCCTGACTAAAGAACGCAGGAAAAGTTTCCAGACTGGTAAGTCTTCTGGGTTGATCCGATTTGTCTAGGTTGGTGGTCAAAGGAAGCTTTGATCGAGGGGAACTTGTGTTTGAAGTTTCCAGGAATTTGCCTTTTGAAATACGCTCGGCACCACGCTGTGAGAAGTCAACATTCTCTGGATGAGTGAAAAGGGGGTCACAAAAACCATTTGCAATCTGGCCAGTTTGAATTTTATAAAGAGAACAAGCCCTTTCTAGCCAAAATAATACCGGTAGAAGGGATGAATTGATCACTGTAGGACAATTGTTTGCTTGTATGCTTGTATATATTTTTTTTAAACTCTGGTTTTTGACTCCTTTTGACTCTTCAAAAGGAAATTAAGCTGCTTAGGAGTGGGGGGAAAAATGTGTGGCCTTGCAAATGAGTTCAGATTGCTAGGCCCCATCATCCTGATATGGTCCGTGCTGCCTGGAATTGGTTAGACATGGAGTCTAACTAAAACTATAAGTATTTTGATGCGATAGATCAGTGGTTCTCAACCTTTTTAATGCCGCGACCCCCAACCGGTCGTAAGTCGAGGACTAAACCGGTCGTAAGTCGAGGACTACCCAACCGGTCGTAAGTCGAGGACTTTCCCTGCCTGGGAGCGCCGTGCATGCGTGGTTCTGCCCCCTGCGCCGGCCGAGGCGTAGCTGGCAAGCGGCAGAGACGGAGCAGGCCGACCACCAGCTGGCCCAGCCCAAGGGAGGTAAGGCACCCACCGGAAAAGGGGAAAAAAATGGCGGACAGCCTTGCTTGGCGACCCCCGTGAAATGGCCGATCGACCCCAAATGGGGTCCCGACCCACAGGTTGAGAACCACTGCGATAGATGAAAAGGCTGTTAAGGGTTCCCTGTTGCATCAACAGAGTGAATTGTTCATCCTTTGTTCTGTTTCAGCTGGGCCTCTTCTGGAGTCCGGTTCTGGGTCCAGTTCTGAAAGCCACCAAATGGAAACCTGACTAAAGGAGAACAACAAAGATAATAAAGTGCCCCCAGATCCTCTAAGGCAGGGGTGAATAGAATATTCCAGAATAGAGCTGGAAAAGGACACCGGAGGTCTTCTAGTCCAGCTTCCACGGTGCCATCTGTTCCCATCAAAAAGCTTCATCGTTGAAAATATTTGGGCATTGGACCTCTTCACCTGCATGTCCAAGTCTTCTCAGCCGTCCCCAAGGTGGCTTCTTCCTTATACTTCAACTTCCAGAATTCTCCCTGCCAGCACGTGTGAACCCGTGGCTGGCTGGAGAATTCTGGGACTTGAAGTCCACAAGTTTTACAGTTGCCAGGGTTAGATACCCCTGCTCTAAGGTACGATTGAAAGAGCTGATTGTACTGTATATTATCTGGAGGGGGGGGGAAACCAACAACAAGGAAGCATTATCATTACATCAGGATAAAACTTTTAGCTGAGTCATTTGAAAGGATAGGGGGAAAGGCTGCAATTTTTTTGAGTTTTGTAGAACGTTTACTCAGAGATAAGGAAGAAGCCACAGCGTATGGAGAAGAGGTCAAAGGAATCAACCCTGGGATAGACACTCTTCATCATCTACCTGAAGCAGGAATTGCAGGCCGAATGCATTAATTAGAGAGAATATACTCCATGTCAAGTGATAGGGAGCGTTTGGTACCTTCTCCTTATAAAGTGAAGGACCACTTTGAGGACGATTGAGGAGATCTGGAGATGCAAGTGAATGGGTCCAAATATTTCCCACAATGAACAGGGGATGGGAACAGGTTGCACTGCTCTCTGTTACAGTTCTTAAACAGAAGACGGTTTACGGAGGATGTTTTAATGACAGAATTTCTTTTATTTCTAGAGGGTGGGAGGTAGGGTGGGCCAATCTGATGAAAACGTAAGTACTCAGTTCTCAGACAAGTCCCAAAAGAGGTATAAATTGATACTGTCCAAAATGGTATAGGGTTCTCCTGCTTGAGCAGGGAGCTGGACTAGAAGATCTCTAAGGTCCCTTTCTCTGTTATTCTATCTTTTATGTTCTAATTACCACGAAACCTCCCTTTCCTGCTCTACCCTCCTTTCGATCCTTTGAATTGTGTGTTTTAGCCTAGCTCATCCATGCAAGCAAGTTGAATTTCTTCTTCTTGAATTGCATTTCTTTTTTCTGTAGCATCTTCAGACACCAAGGAGGAATGCTTGGAAGCACAAATCAACAGGTTAGCAGAGTTGATCGGAAGGCTGGAAAACAAGGTGAGCATTCCTTTTTTTAAAAAAAAAGCATTTTCTTGACAACGGATAACTCAGGGAGGTGACTTTGAAAGGTTTTGTTTGATGGGGAGATAATGCTCATTATTTAAAAAAAAAAAGTTTATGTATATGCTGGAGCCATATTTCTCAACCGTGGCAACTTTAAGATGGGCAGAGTTCGACTCCAAGAATTCCGCAGCCAGCCAGGCATGTTGTTCTCCCTCTGAGAAGAATCAACCCAACATTGATTCTTCGAGACCAAGATGCCTTGACAGACCTGTTCTCCATGCAGTATCTGTGGGCACCACAGCATTCACAGCAAACCCAAGAGACCCTCACCTCCCCTTGCCATACCAAATAAAGAAATAAAGAAAAAGAAAAAAGCATGGCTGCCTCAGGAATTCTGGGAGTTGAAGTCCACGAGTCATAAAAGAGCCACGGTTGCCTACCCCTGCTCTAGGCCACTGGGTGAAATGGAAGGAGGGTACCTGAGATCAAAAAGGGGCTGCTGATTCCTACTTTATGTGCCGCCTGGGAACTCGGCCAACCCACGCATTATTTGCTGCTCTCCTTCCAAATCATTTAGCTGAGCTCTCAGCCACAACTTATTGTGAATCTTCCATTTGTTTCCCGTCTGAAAAGTTTAGAGTTAATGGAGGAGAAAATTATTCCAGCCCACTCTGTTTAATGAAAGTGCATTCCACTGTTTAGCTAAGGGTTGAAAGAACAATGAGGGGGGCCGGGGGGGGGACCCCATCCTGTCACTGTTCTTGAATCTTCCAGTATTTACTTCAGATGAATGAGCCAAGTTCGAATAAAGGAAGAGACAGAGTAAAATTTCACTACATTATTAACCCCACGGAGGTTCATTATGTTCATCTCTTATCACATCTCTTCCTACCTGCCATCTTCCCAAGCTAAAAAAAACAACAGGTTATACTGGATCCAGACAATGAGACTGCCCCAAAATAAATGTGGCTGAAGAATTCTGTTTAAGAATGCTATGAAGACCCCTGCATTACAGCATCCCCATGGTCACGTGATCTAAATTTGGGCACTTGGCACCTGGCGTGTATTTATAATGATTGCACGAGAACTCTGCTGGCTACGGAATTCTGGGAGTTGAAGTCCACAACTCTTAAAGTTGCCAAGGTTGGACATCCCTGCTGTAGCTACAGAGTTCCAATATCTCAGGGGCTGCCACAAAGAAGAGGGAGTCAAGTTATTCTCCAAAGCGCCTGAAGGCAGGACAAGAAGCAACGGGTGGAAACTAATCAAGGAGAGAAGCAACCTAGAACTAAGGAGAAATTTCCTGACCATGGGAACAATTAATTAGTAGAATGACTTGCCTCCAGAAATCATGGCTGCTCCATCAATGGAGGTTTTTAAGAAGAGATTGGAGAGTCATCTTTCTGAAATGGCAATAGGATCTCCTGCTAGAGTGGGGGGGGGGGGTTGGACTAGAAGAACTCCAAGGTCCCTTCCAACTCTGTTATTCTGTTTTTCTGTGTCTTGGGGCCATCTTGCTAAGAGCCCCTTTATCTTGGCCTTTCCACGAAAGGGTCTATCTCCCCAATGAGGGAATCTTTTGCCTTTAAATGTTGCCAAAAGTGGTTTTATTCAATTTTGATCTGTTACCTGTGCAAAGAAGATGTCTTCACCCCATGGAATTTTTTTGCAGCTGTAATTATAAGGAGAACTTTCATGGCTCGGGGCTAGTTTTGAGAGTTATTGCAAGAAGCACTTTGTAAATTCCCTCTGCTTTTAGCACTGTGCTGAGGAATACACCTGGGCAATATGCCTTTGTTGTGTTAATGTTGAAATAAAGCAGATTTCTGCTGGCTGGGGAATTCTGGGAGCTGTTGAAGAAACAGTGCTGTGAAGGTACAGCTCCATAGGGATTCTGACGTGTCCAAGCCGAGATTTAATTAACTGTTCTAAATCCACAGGCAGCTGCATTCACAGAATCCAGCCCTTCCATCAAAATGGCCTAAGCGGTGTTACAACACAAACGCCGTCCCTTTTGTGCACATGTGCAACTTCACAAGACATGTACAAAAGCCTTGCGATGCATCTTTTTCATTCTTTCCCACCCCCACCCCCACTACATTAGAAAGCAAGAGACTGTGAGTTCAAGTCCTGCTTTTGCCATGAAAGCCCGCTGGGTGACCTTGGGCCAGTCATTTCTATTAGCCCAGCCCCCCTCGCAGGAAGATGTTCACCACCTGCTCTACAAGGATCCCTGCTCTACAAGAATCTGAACTACTAACCATCAAAGAAAATTAGGAGTTAAGAAAGGAATTCAAGGTGGACTGGATTTAGACCTCTTGTAGGCACGAAGAGACTCAAGACTGATGGCGCGTTTCACCCCTCCCTCGGGCTCAGCCGTCATCTCCTACTTTTTTAAAAATCTTCTCTCTCTTCATGGGTTGAGCATATGCACGATGAGAACACTTGAATCTGAGTAGCCTCTTTGGGGAAAAGTCATTTGCTGAAATCCTGCATTACTTCCTTTTATGTTGTCATAACAACTCGAGGGAGAGGATAACCTCCATAAAACAATGATTATTCTTACTTTATTTTTGGAAAGTAGTTGTCAAGGTAACAGAGGTTGTGTTTTTTTTTTAAAAAAAAGTACGAAAACTAGCCAACATTTTGTGGGCTTTCGACTTTACATTTCTAAGAATTATTTTTGAAATAACTGCAAGGTGACCTTTGCCCTCTGTTGGAAGACAATATCCATTCCTGGCAGAAGTTAAAAGAGTGGAATTAGATGAAGAGGAGGAATGTCATAGTTCTGAGGATCCATAAAGCGTGACCACTTGAAGCATTTTGATAACGAAAGGTATCTGTGGGAAGAGTCAAAGCAATTCCTCCCCATTTGTAACAAGTGAGGTAGACAAAAAACAGCACTATCTTGACAAGGTTGATGGCCTCAGTTGTAGTGGTGGGATGAGTGCACCATTGGAAAACCTGAAGGAGCCTATTCTCCAAAGCACTGGAGGGCAGGACAAGAAGCAACGGATGGAAACTAATCAAGGAGAGAAGCAACCTAGAACTAAGGAGGAATTTCCTAACAGTTCGAACAATCAATCAGGGGAACATCTTGCCTCCAGAAGTTGTGGGTGCTCCATCGCTGGAGGTTTTTAAGAAGAGATTGGACAATCATTTGTCTAAAATGGTATAAAGCCTCCTGTTTAATCAGAGGGTTGGACTGGAAGACCTCCAAGATCCCTTCCAACTCTGTTACATTCTATTATTCTGACCAGTTTGGTAACAGAGGATCATGGAGAAAAATTTCCCCAGGCAAATATCTCCACCTAAGATTGTATAGTCTGTAGGTTCATAGACTCCTTGTTGCAGACGGTTGCGTTTTCCCAAGGGAAAAGGGAAAAAGCTTGCTTCTCCATCAGAAGTTCAGCCAAGGTGACTGTTCGTTTTTAGCAACGGGGAGATTAGACAGAAATTCTTGCTGGTCTACTGCCAATCATATAGATTAGATCCAAAGCCTTTCATCACTGATTAACATCTCAAGTTTTCGTGGGAGAAGTTACCAGCCAGCTGCTTTCATTCTTTCTTTTGTGTCTTACCTCCCTGCTGGGTTTGATTTCCATAAAAATATTACTAATAATTTTCTCCCCAACAGACTCTTTGGTTTGACCTGCATCAACGGCTGTCAGACAGCGAAAACACGGCGTGTGCGGTGAGCGTCATTTTTTTTTTGTTTCATCTCATATGGGGATATTGGGATTGAGAGAGAGCGTGCTGCTATTCAGGGGTTCTCTTTTCTGTGGGTGCCCCTTCCCTTTCAGAGGACAGTTAGCACTGAGCTTTCCATGCGTGAAAGACCAGGGTTGTTGGTCACTGAATGCTGTTGTGTTTAGTGTCAGGTCAATGATCAGGTGCCCAGGCAATTGGTTGTTTTGGATCCAGAGACAATAAGCCCATCGGTAAATAAAGGGATTTAAGCTTTGGCACGCTGTTCTGGGCCACAGCTGCCCAAAAAGCCAATGCAATCCTAGGCTGCATTAACAGAGAGGTAGAATCTAGATCATGAGAAGTGTTACTACCACTTTATAAGGCTTTGGCAAGGCCACCCTTGGAATACTTGTAACTTGGAACAGTCACTAAACAAACTGTTGTAACACAAGGAGTACCTGTATACAACACCATCCCAAGAGAAGAGCCAAAAAACTCAAATGGATTGAAAAATCCTGTTTCTTCCTTGGGAAAAAAGAGAGAACTTTTTAAAAAAACAAAGCACTCTAAAGCTTTAATTAAAAAAAAAAAGAGGACTCAGCCGAAGGGGGAAAAAACTGGCATAGAGTAATAGAAGCAGATAAAAATAAAAAGAATATGGCCTTTGGGACTAATATCATGTTCCACCCAGCAAAATATAACCAGAGTAGCAAGTATAATTTCTGCACACCTAGAAGAAGAAAATGAAGCATTTAGTGGAATCTCATAAGGATCTCATGCAACCAGTTTCCTCCTTGGAAATCAATAAGCCATTAACTTTATTGACAAAGGGAAACTAATAATTGGGAATAGATTCTAGCTGAGCTATTAGAAGCCGAAACCAACCAGTGAGTTTCTGCATTCACCAGATCAAAATCTACAGTTATCCAAAGGCTGGCCTCATTCTGGAACTATTCTGGTCTACAAAAAATAAAAATAAAAATGTTTATTTCTATGGGTGACCAGCTTTGAGATATGAGCAAAGTTAACTGTGGAAAGATTGCTTTTCTAAACAAATGTAGTTGCTTATGATTAAGGAGAGAAGCAGAGAAGGAGAGAAGCAACCTAGAACTAAGGAGAAACCTCCAGACAGTGAAGACAATTAACCAGTGGAACAACCTGCCTCCAGAAGTTGTGAATGCTCCAACAATAGAAGTTTTTAAGAAGAGACTGGACAGACATTTGTCTGAAATGGTGTAGGGTTTCCTGCCCGAGCAGGGGGTTGGACTAGAAGACCTCCAAGGTCCCTTCCAACTCTGTTGTTGTTGTTATTCACAACTGAAATATAAAAACAGACTTGGCCAGATTGCTTTTATTCTCTCCAACTGCTCCTCAATTCAATCACCAATGTACAGGTAGTCCTTGACTTACAACAGTTCGTTTAGTGACCATTCAAACTTACAATAGCACTGAAAACGGTGACTTATGACCATTTTTCACACTTACAACCATTACAACATCCTCGTGGCTATATGATCAAAATGTGGAGAATAAGTTTAGGGCGGGAAAAATTAGAGACTTTCTGGATAGAGGAGGCAAAGATTTAAGAAATAGTGCCATTTCCACGGCATTTTAATTCTTTTCCTCTTTGTTTCTGTGATCTCTATCTGTTATTTCAGTATCTTCTCTTGGTACGGAGTGAAATGACAGTTTCTCAGAAGCACCTGGGAGAATTCTGTGCCTCCCTTAAGCAGTACTTGAAGACTGTGGCCGGAGAACAGGACTGCTTCCAGTAAGTAGGACTTGACCTCTGCAGGAACTGGTGACGCAGCACGTTCTGTTCGGTTCACTAAGTGAACTGTTGCCAATTGAGGACTATCTGTAGTATTGAACATGATAGAGGAAGCCGCTTCTTGAAGAGCAACAAAGATGATTAGGGGACTGGAGGCTAAAACGTATAAGGAAAGGATGCTGGAATTGGGTATGTCTAGTCTAACGAAGAGAAGGACGAGGGGGGACAGGATAGCAGTGTTCCAATATTTCAGGGGCTGCCCCAAAGAAGAGGGAGTCAAGCTATTCTCCAAAGCGCCTGAAGGCAGGAAAAGAAGCAATGGATGGAAACTAATCAAGGAGAGAAGCAACCTAGAAGTAAGGAGAAACTTCCTGACAGTTAGAACAATTAACCAGTGGAACAACCTGCCTCCAGAAGCAGTGAATGCTCCAACACTGGAAGTTTTTAAGAAGAAACTGGACAGCCCTTTGTCCGAAATGGTATAGGGTTTCCTGCCTGAGGAGGGGGTTGGACTAGATGACCTCCAAGGTCCCTTCCAACTTGATGATGATGATGATGATGATGATGATGATGATGATGATGATGATGATGATGATGATGATGATGGCGCGGGCAACTGCATTCACACAAGTTTCCTCGGCTTGTGGGGGGGGGGGAAGGGGAGAGAGAAGACTGCAACTTATGCTGTTTTGTACATTCACATCTGTTTCATTAAGTTTGGGTTGATGAATCATCAAGATGTGGTGGGGTTTTTTTTTAACAGATGGTTTCCCCTGCTTTTAATTATTGACCCCATTGTGTTTCCTCCGTTGCAGCGTCACCGCAGTCAGGCTTCCTGATGGGGTCACTTTCATTGTTTACGAGTTCTGGGAGAATGAGGAAGACTGGAAAAGGTAAACTGAAAAACGTAACTGCTGTCTCGATCTATTTTCTGTTTTTCCAGTCCCTTCTATTCAAGCCGCCCATGTTCTGAGTCAAGAAACCAGCTGAGGTTCTTCTCCATCCTTCTCCTTTCCTTATAAAAAAAGAGGTTGAGAGTCTAGAAAAAGTGCAGAGAAGAGCAACAAAGATGATGAGGGGACCGGAGGCTAAAACATATGAAGAACGGTTGCAGGAACTGGGCATAGCTAGTCTAGTGGAGAGGAGGACCAGGGGAGACATGATAGCAGGGTTCCAGTATTTGAGGGGCTGCCACAGAGAAGAGGGGGGGGGTCAACCTATTTTCCAAAGAACCTGAAGGCCAGACAAGGAATAACGGATGGAAACTGATCAAGGAGAGATTCAACCTGGAAATAAGGAGAAATCTCTTGATTAATTGGGAGAACAATTAATCAGTGGAACAGCTTGCCTTCAGAAGTTGTGGGAGCTTCACCACTGGAACCTTTCAAGAAGAGACTGGACTGCTATCTGTCAGAAATGATGTAGGCTCTCCTGCTTGGGTGGGGGGGTTGGAATAGATGACCTACAAGATCCCTTCCAACTCTGTGACTCTGTTACCTCCACAGACACCTCCAGAGTCCTGTCTGTAAAAGCTTCCAGCATGTAAAAGTGGATACGCTGAATCAGCCAGAAGGAGTTTCCAGCGTGTCGGTGCCAGGTCTGAACCCTAAGATCGTGACAACACTAAGTTCTAGTGTGGCCTTGGTGTGGAGACAGGGCTTGCATGTCTGAGTATTTGGATAAAAATAAATGTTTCCTTGGAAACTAGCTTGAATCCTGACACATCCCTAGTTTTCTTGGCAATGGAACAGAAAGTGGTCTGGTATTGCCTTCTTCCAGGGTGACTGTTCAGTTTCCCATTATAGATACAACACTGGCTTTTCCTGGTGGTCTCCCATCCTATTACTATCCATGGCTGATGCTGCTTAGCTTCTGCGTACCTAGCAACCTTGGTTTTACTGAAGCCACGGCATATAATACCAACTCAAAGTGGATGTGATTTGTTCACTGTGCGAGATTGCGTTGAATTTCTGAAGGCCAAGTGGGCTGAGTCAGCTTTACTAGCTGAGTTCCCACAACATGCTGAAACGGGTTGAAATGGAACCCGACAGTTCATGGCTCAAAGGGGGCCCTGTCACTGTTTAACAGGTTGTGTGAAGGAAATTGTCGTGGAAGGACCTGTCTTGAATAGACATTCCAAGTAACGTAACCATGGGAATGGTTATTTTGTTAACCTGGATTTAGATGCTGCGTGAAGCCAGTCTTGCTTGCAGACCTTTACGGGCCATGGAGGGAAGGAACAAGACAAGAAATATATTTAATTGAAATGAAAGAGGCTCTCCTTCTAACTAAGGGTGGACAGGAGGGGCAGCAAAGGCAGGCAATATATATATATATATGACTCCCTACTCTTTTTTTTCATTGTAGCTGCCTGGTGCACCCTCAACCGGGACTGAACTGGAGAAGACCGTGTCCCAAAGGGAAGTTCAGATGGGTCCCCTTCTCCTTGCCTGGCGGGTGCCAACGTCCTTTCCTCTCTTCGTCAGAGAAGCACACTCTTACCTTTTCTAATAACTTCGTTACCAGTGTCGTCTCTTCTCCCTCCCTCCCTTCCAATGCATTTCTGTCTAGAAATGAGATTTGTTGGCTCTTTGAAGGGAAGGAAGGAACAACAAGAAGTCAATCTTCCAACCAGCCCTTGGCCAGCAAACCATTTTTTTCTCCCCTAAGCTGTAACCCAAAACCTCTAACAAATTCTGGTCTAGTAACCGCCAGAGAGGAGGGCTTGCTTGCAAGCTTTAATGGAGCCCTGCTGAGAATGTATGGATGGATTTAGATGAGTTCTTCCAATCCAGATTTTCATCAAGGAAGGCTTTTCTTCCGATTAGATGGGTCGTGATGGTCTGCTTTGACCGGTTCAGGAATTCTGGGAGTTGAACTCCATGAGTCATAAAAGAGCCAAGGTTGCCTCCCCCTGGTCTGGGCTGTGATAGATGCCTTGCTCTCTCTCAACTTCTATGACTTAGAGAGAAATAGTGGCTGGATTGTGGGTAAAACTCTACCAGAGATCCTCATTCAACCATCCACTTCTAGAAAACTTCCAGAGTCTTATGAGATAAAGAAATAGCTCTTACCATTTTGTTTTTTAGGGTGGTTAGCATCAAAACACCCGTAGCCTACATTTCAAATTATAAGCTTTCTGGTAGGCCCTATGCTTGGAAAATGGAGTTGAGGCAAGGAGTGAGCAGAACAGAACAAAAGTGGGTGGGGAAGTAGCCTTTTCGAAATGCACACCCAGGGGTGTGCTGGTCAATGTAGAACTGGCTGTGTCAGGTCCAGTGCCACACTGCTAACCACCAAAACACCTGAGTGGCAATCCTGGCCATCCCGATTCTGCTCCGCTCTCAACCAACTGACCCGGGTGATTGAGTATCTCCACAGACATCGTCTTCTCCTTGTCCACCCAACCACTTATTCCAACAGGTTGGCACTGAGCATTCCTGCAGAATCTGAATTATTCAGAACTGTTTCCAAGTTTTGTTTTGTTTTAAAAAAATTAGTGATAAGAGCTGCACGAGACCCTTGGAGAAACACGCCACCCATCTTGCCTTATTCTCGCCTTACCTGACCGTTGAGTTCTCTCATTTTACCACCGTTGCATGAGTCAATCAAAATAAGCCTTGATGTATTTAGACTGATCTTTCCCCCCGCACTGTAGAAAAAGTAGCACTGTGTTACTTTACCAAATCATGCGAATTTTCTTCTCCAAACCGAAAACGGTTGTTTCTAACGAGACTGAAGCAGGCACGATTTCCTAGAACAAGGGAGCCCCCCCCTTTCCCCCTACCCACCTCCTCACCTCTTTCTCCGGGAAATGTGGCTCATGTATTCTTCATTTTGACTGTAACCTTTGATAGCTGATGTGTACTGTTTTAGAAATAAAACGATGTAGCGCTCCAGTTTAGCACGGACGGCACGGTGTCAGTGTTAGCAAACATATAGGCAGTTTTAAGAATATAAATACGTGCCGTTGTGTACAATTGATGACTAAGTACAAGTAACCAAATAAAAATGAAAAAGATTAAAAGAGACCTTTGGGTTCGCCTTCGTTTCCTCGCCGTCTCTCCTGGTAAGACCCCTGCTTCTCAACCTGGGCAGCTTTCAGATGCATGGACTTCAACTCCCAGAATTCCCCAGCGAGCATGAATGCGGCTCTTAGACTTGGTTTGCGCTATGGATTCTACCATTCTGATTCACGGGGGAGAGTTCATACTCAGTGTAAAGCCATCCTGATAACATCTGTGCTTGTCCAATTGTCTCCGATAAGCAAAGATGCAAAGAGCAGGTGGATTTCAGGTAATTAGACTGTCTTGTCACTCTGAAATATCGACTTACAATTGCAGTTGAGCCCAAAATTGGAGTTTTGCCCCATTTGATGACCTTTTTTGCCACTGTTATTAAGCAAATCAAGAATAGAATATAGAATATAGAATATAGAATATAGAATATAGAATATAGAATATAGAATATAGAATATAAAATAGAATAGAATAGAATAGAATAGAATAGAATAGAATAGAATAGAATAGGACTTCTGGAAGCGGCATCCACACAGAGAACCAGATGTTCACCTATTTGAATCCCACCACTGCACGTGGGATGCTGCAATCCGTCATAAATGTGAGCCACCCAAATTGCGTTCATGTCACTACAGAGGTGGGGCAACAATCATAATTTGGAATTTAGTCAGAACTGACTTTTTAGGAGGCGGTTATTAATTGAAACCCTCATTAAGCAAATTGTCATTAGTTGAAGACTGTATGTAATGTGCAATAAAGCCTGCCCAGGATCCACAAGAATATTTCACAAGAATATTTAAAAACAGTTCCATCCAATAAGAGATAGGACTAACACCAGTGAAAATAATTGTTATGATCTATCTATTTTACACTTGTACTCAATTTAATATTGGTCTAGAAGTTACATCATTTTAGAGTCAAATTACTCGGTAAATTCCTTTCCCTAAGACAGTGATAATACAGAAAAAGCATTACAGTACAAGTAACGCTCTGTTTACTATATTCACCGTAGTAACCGTGGCAACACGTATTGTGTGCAACTGGTGTAATTTTACAGTGTGAATCACTGCATTGGGAGGCAGAGGAAATAGCATCAATTGTCTGGATTATTTGCAATGCAGGCAGACTTTGGCTTGTTAAATGCCGGTGCTGCAATTCTTTGAAACCCTTTGCCTTCAAAGTCTGCTAAAATTAAGTCTGCTAAACTGAGATTTTACTGCATCTGTCAAGGGCGCTGAGCATCGCCTCCCAATAGTCCAGCTGTGAGTGTTTCGTGGATGCAACATCACCTTTGCTGATGACTTCGGCTAGAGTTTGTGCAATAGTGCCATGATGGCCGATGCTGTGCTTTGCCCAAAGACGAAAGCTCCACAAAGGACAGTGATGATCCCCCAGGTAATTAGGCAGGACCTGCGAGTAAGTGGGAAAAGAATCCATGCTATGCCTATCTTCTATAAAACCCGGATGAAGATCCAGGTTTTATAGAAATACCCGAATCTTCATTTAAAAAAAAAATTATTTCTACCCTATTAAAATTGGTTGCTACTTGGCCAAGTCCAGTGATGGCGAACCTTTTAGAGACTGAGTGCCCAAACTGCAAACCAAAACCCACTTATGCATCATCGAGTGCCGGGTGGGCATGGCTGCGGTGGTAACGGCAGACTGGGTGGGACTAAAAAGTTCAATCAATCAATTCCAACTTTGCAAGATCTTTTTTTTCCTGCAAGAAATTGAAATTGACTGATCGAACTTTTTTTTTTTTTGCACACGGCGGCGGACACCTAAAGCGAAAAGGTTTTATAAAACCCAGCTGAAGGCCTAGGACTGGGAGATGGCACGCGTGCCCACAGAGAGGGCTCTGAGTGCCACCTCTGGCACCCGTGCCATAGGTTCGCCACCACTGGCCTAGTCCCTTTGGCAAAATGGGGCAATAAGCCTCTCTTGTGTCTTCGCAAAATGTTGCCAGCTGATCACGTCTTTCTGGCTATTAAGATTCTTTTCAGCGGATGCTTGCAAAGGCGCATAGTCACTGCGCTTTTGCATCAGTAAAATGCAGCAGGAAGAATCGTGAAGACATTTTGCATGTGGTCCCATTAAGGGAGCTGCTTTGCAGCAACGCAGGAAGGCTTCAATATATTTGATGCCTAAGTTAGATGATTGGGGAATGGAACCAGCAATTAATTCAAAGCAACTAAACTGTCCGTTCCTTATTGTCACCAAAGTTGGTTGAGGGACTGGGGATGCTAAACATACTTGGTTCTTGGCCTGAAGGATTCCGTCTCCATTGCAAACACCAAACATAGCCCTGAAATAAAATAGGAAGCATTCAACATAAACAATTCCTTAAAGATCTGTGGTGGCGCAGTGGGTAGAATGCAGTATTGCAGACTAATTCTGCCCAATGCCAGTTCGATCCTGACCGGCTCAAGATTGATTCAGCCTTCCATCCTTCCGAAGGCAGTCAAATTCCTAGGAGAGGAAAGACATGTTGACCTACCTGGAAAGATGAAGATGAAGAAAGCCCCAATGCCACCAATGACGCTGACCACCTCGCTGATGTCAGGCACACACAGGGCAATGATGAGGGTGACCACTACCCAGGCGGTGGTCAGCAGAATTCGTATGCACTTCTCACTGTTCTCCATCTGGATACAGCCCTGCTTGGAGCCGAGGCAAAAATCTTGGAGGACGGACCTAAACGGTTACATTGGGGCGTTTATCGAATGACTCAAGAATCTGCCCACACCTTAAACATTAATCCATTTATCCCTTTAGATCCGGGGTGTTGAGCCGTGGCCATTTGAAGACCTGTGGACTTCAATTCCCAGAATTCTGGGAGTTGAAGTCCACAAGTTAAAGTCACTAATATGTTGCTGATAAAATATTAAGCATTTGTGCCTATGAAACAGACCAACACCCCTGAAAAGCTTAGGAATCATTTTTGCTTCTCACCTTCCTAGAAAAAGGACAATGGGGTAGATGGTGATAATGGAGATGCCAAATAACAGCCGAGCTACAATAACCACTACATCATTTCCAGGGTAGGACATTAGGATGTCAGCAGCGACGTCAGCGCCAAATGTCAAGTAGCCATACAAACCTTGTGGGGAAATAGACCATTAGGTTATAACTAGACAATCTGACCCGATGGGTCATCATTACAGAGAGATTTCCAGTGCAAATAAGACGGTGCCCTGCTGCCCGTTTATATATAATAGCTTACCCTCCAGTTTGGGGAGGGGAAAATAGAATGGAATGGAATAGAATAGAAATAATAGAATAGAATAGAATAGAATAGAATAGAATAGAATAGAATAGAATAGAATAGAATAGAATAGAATAGAAGCTGGAAGGGACCTTGGTGGTTTTCTAGTCCAGCACTGATTTAATTTAATTTAATTTAATTTAATACATTGACTTATATGCCGCCCTTCTCCCCACGGGACTCAGGGCGGCTCACAGCATATTAAAACGACATAGCACATTTCCCCAATAAAAGCCAATTAAAACCAAATATTTGTAGCTGTGTCTCTTATTAAAAATCATTAAAAATTATCCCTATTTAAAATTCACCCTAGGTCAGTCCCGCTTGCTGAAAAAGCCATGTCTTGAGGGCGCGGCGGAAGGTTAGGAGATCCGGAATCGTCCGGATCTCGGGGGGTAGCTCGTTCCA